TCTCCTCCTAGTGATGCCTGGCATCCGTCCTGCATGTGCATGTCACTGTAATGTTCTTTCTCGATTATCCTCCTCAAATACATTCATCTCTCCCTTCTCGTCTTCCAGTAGAAGAAAAATGGATCTCCTCCTCCACGACGCTGCGCATTGTGCTTGTCGTCCCCGCATGCAGAAAGAAAACACTCTTCCCTCCGATCTAACAGGCCATCCTCCTCGACCATTCTCCCTTCCCCTTCCCCCTCTTCCCCTTCCCTCTTCCCCTTTCCCCCCTTCCCCCCCTTCCCTCTTCCCCCTGTCTCTTATACACATCTAGATGTGTATAAGAGACAGGAATATAGATATACCCTAAAGCACATACAAAAAAAAAAAAAAAAAAAAAAAAAAAAAAAGTAAAAATTCAGGAAAATATGGCAGTTTCGGTCACAAATTCACCAAATTCACCAAAATTTGGGCCTTCCATTAACCGCTGTGACAGCCCCTTAGGGAAGGCAAGTTGTGCCTTGCGAGAACCAATCCTATCGTAGGGGACCGCAAAAGGTACGGCGGGCGCACCCAGCTAAAGCGACGAAGGACAGCCATCACAACTGTTTCAGCAGCTCACGGAAGTACTTACGCATTGTTCCCAAGTTCTCTCTCTGGTTTCTTTAACTCCTCCGTGACATGGCTGGGAGGACTCTCGCCTTTGCAAAAAAATATGGACACTGCAGAGCCTTGGCAATAAGGATCTCAAGATGCAGCCACTCATACCATGCAAGGAATTATTGAGTACCCAGGTCGCAGATCTCGATTGCAGGGCGGCTGCAACCCTGCCACACCATCTCAAGCTGGCCCAGGCCAAGGGTGTGAGCTACACATGTGTGTTATGCCTATTGATGGGTCAAGGTGGGAGCCGATAGGCTCAACAGCGCGAAGATTATGCCTACAAACCGTAGACCTTTGTAGTGGCAGATCCTGCACTGCAGCCTCCCAACGCCAGACTGGCTCGTATCCAGAACCGACCTTAAACAGAAAGGGAAACTCTCTCCCATCTGTGCATATTGTGGGAGGTCTCAGATGTCGACCCAACCAATCCTCGAACACTGTTTGCTGGCGTGTCCTATGGTCAACCAACTACGACAATGGTGGGATGCAGCCTTTCACTCCCCATTGGATATCACATTCTCTGGCACCGCAGTCTCCTGCTGTTGGGAGATCACTGCCACTTGCTGGGACACAGGTCCCCGTTCGCAAACAACCTTTTCTCGTACACGAGGTTGCATCTCCTCACATTGGCCTGAGAGCCAGATGCTCCTTCGAAAGGAAGGAGCACCAATTTGGCCTGCAGCAAGCACAACGAGCTGTTGAGGAACAGAACAGGTCCAGGACCCAGGAAGCCTGGAAGTCAATGAAACGTGAGTTCTTTGAGGAAAAGGACCCTCCCACCAAGGAAGCTATTCGGGACTTCTACATGCAAATTTGGCAAGACCCCAAAATAATATTTTCTGAATTGGACTCTGCCCTTAACATCACATGGAAACAGTGGAGGAGCAGGCAACCTGGTTGGCAGAGGAAACCCTTCAGCAACTTCCAAGTCCCCTACCTCCACCCTCACTTTGTCCTCCTTCCAAACCACATGTCACCTGCTTCACCACAACCGCAGCCACCCCACCCGACCCAGCCCTGACTGCCAGCCCCCCCCTGAGCCAAGACCCTCCCCCCCCAACCCAATAGCCACACTTGCCCCGCCCGCCTTACCATGCTCACCATCCCCTCCCCCCATCCCCTGCCCGTCCCCCCAAGTTCCCTAACCACTCTACTTTCAGACACGAGACCGGCACTGGTCGCTGGTGACAAGAGGAAGGACTCAGTGAGGACTGCAGAACGTGGGCTACAATGTTAAGGCAACAGACCGAACGACATATGGGGGCCACATCAGCAACACCGGCAATAACAGCGGTACAATAAGAACTCGGCAGCTATAAACCAACCCCTCGGGTGCATGAACAACTGGTCCAGGAAAGGCGATGGTGCAAACACCTCAGATCGTGCAAGGGTGCAAATCAACTGTAGAGGACCGACATCCTGGACACAGAATACAAAAGTGAGAGTTGTGCAGAGGCTCAGCGACCAGACACAACAGGCAGCAGACGCAGGAACTACAAGTCCCCAGCACTCACACAGATAGCAGGGGACGTGGCTAGCATAATCATGTATAGTTTTGGCAGCCTGCCTTCTCGCTGAAGAGGCACACCCCACCGCTCCAACTGAACTCTGTAACATGGCTTTTTCAACTGTAAAAAGGGACGCTGGGCCTGTTTCTCACCAGGTGCAGCTCCCCACCAATAGATGGAGCCTACCTCTGAAAGCTTGAGGTGTCTGCTCCTACGAGCACCTCAAGCTGTTTCAGGAGTCGTTGTCTCTTAAAAAAAAAAAAAAAAAATAAAAAATAAACAAAACAAACTGGCAAAAGTTCCGCAAAATGCAGTAAGACGAGGCCCATATTCTGCTGCTCTGGTACAACTTGGTACCAGCTTCCCAAACAAACATAAGGAATGCATTTGTTCAAACTTGCAGGCCAAGTACAGCTATAATAACCGTGCCTTGTGTTAGGGAAGAGGAAAATGGTTGCCTAGTTACCAACTCCATGAAATGCTCAAGGTTGGCGCCAGTAGACCAACCATACAGGATCGAGCTGCCACTCAGCGTTCATGCCCTATCCCCCAAGGAGCCATATCCATAAGCACGTAAAAGAGAGAACAAACCATACTTCACACACGATCTCTCTCTGGGTCGGTATATATCCACTCACATTTTTTTATTTTCATTTTTTAGAAAATCACCATTCCATTCATAAGTCTGGAAACTCGGTCCAGCATTGAGTGCTGACTCACCGCTTCCCTTCGTTATGGCCAACGGACACAAGCAACAAGATCACCACTTCATGCCTTTGGTTTATACATAAATGTCAAATGAGCAACAAAAAAGGGCAACCACGTGATCGGAACCGGAAACCCATTGTCAATTCCACTCAATGGCCATGTTACATTGTTCTTTAGATAACCTGTCCCTCGAAGTGTCGCGGACCTTTGCCGAGTGCCAATTCCTGCCCAACCGCTGAAGGCTGCAATTTGCCTGGCAGTGCCAGCATTTTCCATCCGGTATGCTTGTCCTGTGATTTTGCGGCGTGTTCAGCATGTCAGAACAAATAGGTGGGATAGGAGCTGGTGTTCAAGTTGTCATTGCTCCACAGGTAAACCATTAGCTGTTACGATCCTGGCCAATTTCGAAGTATACATTCATCAGAGAGTACAATGCCGTCCAATTGCAAAAAGAAATGAATGAACTTGAGAGCAGAGAGAGGGAAAGAAGATGAAAGAAGAAGAAGATGATGTACTCCAGCATAGACCAATGACAAGGCTCTTCTTCTTCGGCCGAACCAGAATCAATGTCCGAATCCCACTTCTACTGCAGGCACAACATGAGGTCCACCATAGCCATGACCACCCTTCTCTTTCCTCGTCATTGCAGGACAAGGCTATGGCGGACTACTGAGGCTTCAGCCTCCTGTCCAAAGGACAACCCAAAGCAGCTATGTCGCTGCTGCTTCAAGCAGCTATGCCGCTGCTCACTGAACCGCCATACCTGACTCTACCCCGAGCTTCCTTGGTGCGGCACTACCCCAACAGGGGCCTTCCAGATGCAGCGCCTAACAAGGTGATGAAGATGGTGTCCACCATCGCCAGGTAGGTACCTCGCCACTCTCCCCCTTGRTCCCCTTCTCCCTCCTCCTCCTACCGGCCGAGATCCACCATAGCCAAGGTGGAAGCTCCCAGCTTCTTCCTCCCAGCAGCGCTGTAGCAGCCAGCGCTCTTCCAACCAACGCTCCAACAGTGTGACGCCCAACTCACACACTGAAGAATGAGGCCGAGCTCTTCCCTCAGCCTCTTGATATAGCGGCCTGCTTGCCTCCTGGGCGGTGACTTCCAGGCGCTTGGCCTCCCAAGCAACCCGTACCTCCTCCCTTTCGGAGGGAAACATCATTGCAGACTCTGATATTGCCCGCACAGGCTCTAGACTCAGACTGGATGGACTGGTACCGGCCTAGACCTAGCCTACCGCTACTGGGCCTCTCAAAATGCCAACTTTGTCTTCTTCTGCTCGGCCTCGAGTACCCGGCACATCTACTGCTACTGGGTGCGGTACCGGCCTACCTGCTACTTGAGTGTTTTTCCGCTGCTCTAAGCACCGCGGGCCCCTGGCTCCGCTACTTGAGTGTTTTCCCTGCTGCAACCCTCAATGCGACGACCACAGGTAAGTACCGGCCCTACGGGCCTGCCAAACAAGCAAGTACCCTTGCGGGTCACACACACACTCATGCCGACAAGCACTCAGACAGGCACGCAAGTCAACAGGCACGCACACATACAGACTAAGAAAACACAGCAGAATGCGGGAATCTCAGCAAGGCATCCATTCCATCGGCAGAACTTCAGAAATCAGCAGTGTTCTCAGTCTGTGTTATGGTGGGTCATTACATAGCGAATAACAGACTGGCCGAGCAAACAAAGCTGGATAACCTTCTATGCTTGCTTTATCCCTCCCTCCCTCCCTCCATCCCTCCTTCCCTCCCTCCTCTTCCCTGACCTCTCTCTCTCTCTCTCTCTCTCTCTCTCTCTCTCTCTCTCTCTCTC